CACACACACACACACACACACATCCTTGTGGGGACATCTCATGGACATAATGCAACCATCAAAGATGAACGCCTGACCCTGACCATAACCTAATGTAACCCTGACACTGGAACGAGTAAAACCACATTTTGAGTCTCAGAAACGCCTTCAGACTCGCGGGGGATTTTGGTCCCCACGAGTATAGTAAGCCTCCAATTTTTGGTCCCCACAAAGATGTTCATACCTGTCCACACACAGTTACTCGCAGACATAGCCCACCTCTCCTCTGCTCACAGGCCCACAGCACCCCTCCGACTCGAGCCACTCGATGCTACTGGTGGCAGCATGGATGAGTATTGGCTGGCTGCTCATGCATGACTCATGAGCGATTCTGTGTGCTCGTCTCCACAGACGTGACCAACAGCAGTGACGCGCGGTGGCAAAATGTGTGACTGATATAAAAGTGATTTGAGGTCAGTGGGACTCTGTTTGGTCAGAAGGGAAACACTGACACTTACAGCTGCTTCATTAGTCAGTTTCAATGATTACGACTATTCTTCAGAAGATCGAGTGGCTCATCTACTGATCTGAACACTGGTGGTGTGATCCCCAGCTCATCCAGGCTGTCCTTGGGCAGCACACAAAACCCAAAGATCTATGTGACTGTGTCACAGATACAAGAGCTCAGAGGCCACAGAGTAAGAACTGCATAAATAAGGAAGTAGTTAGGGCTGAAGATGCTAAAATGCTTGCTGGGAGGGACCAACATGGCCAGGGTTAGAAGTTCTCTTTTAAAAATCAGACGTGGCTTTGATATGCAAGCAGATTTTAGGTCCTTCAAGTGAAAATGAAATGATGCTTCAGAATAACTACCCGCCGTGCAGGAGAGAAAGCATGCAGGAGCAGACAACATGCGAAGTTCAAAACCAGGACTTTCTTGCTGTGAGGCAGCAGTGCTAACCACTGTACCACCGTGACACCCACTGAGGTGGAGATGTCAAGCAGAACCCGTCTCCTGGAAAATGTGCAAAGCCTTTGCTTTCACTTCCAGACCTCTGGACTCACACAGTACGTCTCTCAATCACACCTGTTTCACTCAAAACACACAAATGGTTCAGATTTGCTCTGCGTCGCACAAGCTGAAGCTGTAAGATGTACACGCTTCAACTTCAACTCAGTTTTATTTATGTAGCACCAAAACACAACAGAACAAGGTAAAACCCTGCAATAATACAAAGGTCACACATGAGTGAGTTTAAATGTCTCCAAACAGATCCGCAGGAACAGGAAGTTGAAACAACTGCAGGGAAACAGAGATGCTGTTACACAAACACACACAGTGCTACACGTGCAGATGTACAGCAGTGAATGCACAGGTGCTGGTAATACCACATCCCTGCTCCGAGTGTGAAGCTGGCCCACGACCCCGACACTGAAGCTGCGAACCTGCTGTCCTTCACTTCATTACGTCCCTGCGTGCTACTGTCAGCGTGGGTCAAGTAACGTGAACGGCACCAGGTAACAATCTGAAGACACCAAACACACAGCTGGCAGCATCTGTACAGTCTGTATTACAGCTGTTTGTGGCAGCTGACGAGAAAAACACACATTTTTATATCCCGCCCACCTCGTAAACAGCCTCATCGCAGCTTTCTGAGCCCTGCGGTGGTCTCAACAACACTGTCAGGGGCTGTGTGCGACATTTAAAGTCAGTGGATTCCAACCACAGACTGCATAACAAAGATGCAAGTAAATGGCCTGCATTTGTATAGCGCTTTTCTAGTCCATAGGACCCCAAAGCGCTTCACACTACATTCAGTCATCCACCCACTGGTGATGGCAGCTACATTGTAGCCACAGCCACCCTGGGGCGCACTGACAGAGGCGAGGCTGCCGGACACTGGCGCCATCAGGCCCTCTGACCACCACCAGTAGGCAAACATGGGGTTAGTATCTTGCCCAAGGATATTTGGCATGCAGCCAGGATGCAGCCTGGGATCGAACCACCGACCTTCTGAATAGTGGCTGACCTGCTCTGCCACCTGAGCTACAGCCACCCCTGTATCCACCGCGGGGTCACGCTGTCGCTCTTTGAATCCTCACATTAGCCGGGCACGGCGGCTCAGTAGCAGACCCAGGTGTATTCTTCCTGGTGACTGCATTGTGATGTCATCAGTATAACTTGACACCTTCGAGGTGAGACTAGATTAAACTGCTGAGCATCATTTCCACAGAGACTTTGGTGAAACTGGAGGTCTTTTCCTGGTGGCCATTAGAAGTAATGCATCTCTAAGGTGCCATTGCTTTTCACACCCAGAAGCTACTGCCATCTTTACTTACAGTCTGTGCTTCTAAAATGAAAAAAAGACTATTTAAAGATTTTTTAAATGACATTTATATAATTTTGCTGCATTTAAAAAAAAAACAACTTTTGCTACAAATCCAAGACAGCCCGTTTCTCTACAAGTCAAAGACTCACACTTGTGCAGACTGTGGCACATTTAGCTCAGTGCAGATGATCTGGTCAGAAAGAGCCATAAAACCAGTGCAGCTGTTCGGAAATATCCGGCTAAGCCCTCGAGGTTAAAAATTCAGCAACTGGACGATGTTTTAAAAGTTGCTGAATGCGTGTTAAAGAAGTGTGATCTCAGTAATGACCAATAAGAAGTGAGACTAGGACTCCTGCAGGGATCGAGCGGCCCCAGCTCCCTCTGGAGGCAGGCGAGGACTTCTCGACTTGAAAGGTAAACTGAGCTCGTAGGTGGGACTGCTCCGTGTGTCTGCACACAGCACCGTGCTGTAAACACCGTGTGTGCAGACAGCAGCACTCAGCATTCTTTTATTTTCCCATTTTGCCTTTGATGATAGAAAAGACCTTTGGCCGCTCCTGATGTTTGTAAGAACTGATAGGAGTGCCGCTGGCTTTAATCAGCGACCACTAATCATATTAGCATTTCCAAACGGCGCGGCGCACTCTCGCAGCAGACTTCAGTGCACATGCCGCTGGGTGGGATCTGGATGCAGTAGGAGCAGAATTAGGGCAGCGGGGCCTGCTGCTTGCCACTGACAGGGCCACAAATTCCTTAGCGTGCATCAGCACTTCAGCCCGCCTTCAATGGCCTACCAGGCGTGTAGGTGTTCCCGCAGCATCTCGATGCTCCGCTCCTGCCTTTGCGCTGGATGAAGACGTGATCACATGCAGATGCCCGTGGAGCTGTATCTGAGAAAGACAGGCGGCCGACGGATCGCCGAGCCCCAGCCCCTTTTCACTACATAGCATCCTCCCATCATCCATCCATCAGTGGATGCATCACTGAACCCCACATGACAAATGTGCCGTTTCTGTGAGCGTGCTCTTACCCGTCGCCGACCACCACACACTTAATCGCCTGCATTTGGACAGCAGCTGGAGGCTTTCAGGGAGCCGGCGCTGGGAGTTCACCGATCCGACAGTAAGCGCTGAGGTCTCGTACGAGAACAGCGGGCCAGTCCGCTCAGCGATGGAGCCGCAGTGAAAAGGGTCGATGACGAGCAGTTACGACAGTCTCCGAGAAGTGCCGAGCGTTCTTAAAGGGACAGAGGCGGAACAGAAGAACGCCAGTAGACGAAGAGATGGCTCCCTCCGATCACTTCCGCCATCGCTACATGCTACCAGCGATGCTGCTTACGTTACATCGACAACGTGAAGTTATAAAGACAGCTAGTACAGGGCGATCCACGTGACTGAGCACAACGATATTTAGTTTAACCCGTCGGACAGTCCCGAGCTAAGCCTCGTGAGACGCACAAGTTGTGTGTTCGCTGCCTTCAGACATATTCAGAAACGCAGACCAGAAACGTACTTAATCGCCAGATTGTGGAAACGTTTAGAATCGATCATATTCGATATACTCGATCCAAAAGAAATTTGTCTTGAACAAGTTTCCTTGTTGAAAGTGGAAACTTTCAATTGATGAAAGTTTCCACGCATTAAAAAGAAATCTTAAAGGACCCGATCCCCTGGATATGAATTTCAGCAGCGCAGCAGCTTTACGTTAAAGCTCCACAAGCTTGTGCCTGAACCATCTCGGCAGTTAATGATCTTTGGCTGCAGTTTCAATACTAGTGACCTCATGCATCCCCACCCCAACAACACGCCACACCATCGCTACTGTAACCTTATCTGTTAGAATAATCCAGATCAAGCACAATGCATTAACACAAAACAACGCAACGCTGGTTTGTCACTGATAGCAGACCTGAAACACAACAGCTTTATTTGGACTTTCATTATAAAATGTAAAAACAGCAGGTGTCCTGCTCTGCATCAGTGTCTACTCTGTAGTATACAATATTAAGGCATATCTGAACCAAATATCATTTTGTTCGTTTACTCAAACTGGATAAATGTGGCAGAAATGACGCTGGCTTGCAGTGAAAGCTAAGTACAGTTTATCACATGTGAGTGAAGGACATAAAAATGGAAATTTATGACACAAGACCAGGTTCTGATCACAGGACTCCTTCAGCAGCGCTGACCTTCACATGTGGAAGGTCATAGTCACCATGTGCTGGATGTGTGTGAACAGCTGTGTGATTGTGAAACATCTGCAGATGTTTGATGGCTGCCTTGCAGCCTCTGGACTGTTAGGAGTTTTTGAAATCGGTATTTATTCAGACGGCTCTCTCTTCTTCCCCTCAGCCACTGTAAATCCATTCGCTCCATCATTCAGTGAAGCCATAGTTCCTTTTACAAATGCACAGCCGATTCTTATTTTTCATCATGTGAAAACCTTGTTGCTTTCTACTACACTCACTGGAACGTGTGGAAAGTGTTGGCACTTAAAGTGCGCTGTGTATTTATTAAAAGTAGCAATAAAAAAAGAAAGTAGCACACCATTGAACTGAGCACGTCCTGATGAGATTTGTCATTTTTAACATTATGTTAGGTATGGTTATTATTTGCTGAGCACTGATCGTCCACGTCAGAATATTCTTCAGCTCTGTGGAGCTATGCCTGGTCCTGCCCAGTGCGGGAGCCCTGAGAGAGGCCCTGCTGGCTCATTTCTGGAGGCTGCTGTGGTGTCCCAGAGGAGAACCGTGAATGTACGAGAGGACGGCACTCTGCAAATAGCTGGCTCTGTTGGCCTCATCCTCCCTAATCCTATGGATCTCTGCCTCCTTCAGCCGCAGCTTCTCCAACATGGAAGACATCTCGCTCTCTTTGTCCAGAAGAGCCTCCCTGTGGTTACTACTCAGCACTACAAGACGGCAAACCGGAGAGAGAACAGCATGAAAGAGAGCAGCACAGAATCAAGTCACACTGTTGCTTCCAGACAGTCCTGGCACAAAGACGCAAAGTTTATGTCAAGTTTAAAAGTAACCGGAACAAAAGCGGACGGCGAACCTTTAAGCTCTCTTTCCAGAGCGCTGATCTTTTCTTTAAGTGCTCCCTGTGCCGTCCTCTCTGCCTGGAGATGTCCAATCTGCTCCTGCAGCTCCACCCTCACCCGGCTCACCTCAGCCACCTTCTCCTGGTCTTTGCAGCACAGCTCCTGTAAGAGCACAGCACCCCTCATTTATCACTTCAGATTAGGCCAATTTACTTCAGCGTTTCAGGCTCTGACAGTAACTGTTCGAGTCAGTGTACAGATTTGTCCCTGCTCCAACATCTTTAATTCAATTCAATTTCAGTTATTTCTCTTTTTAGATTTTATTTAAATTTTAGAACAATTCAAAGCCAATGAAAAAATTCTTTCTATGTGTGGAAACAACTTCTCTTCCACAGCTCTTGGTGCTGCATTCTGGATTCAGGACAAGGAATCAGTCAGAAATCTTTTCTTTATTTTCAGCTCCACTGCGAGTCAGGAGCTTCCCTACTTTAGACAACGCTGTTCAGATGAAAGAAGGCCGACTGTTTACTGTTACAGGACCAAAGTTCCTGCAGGCTTCCTCACAGTGTCACTGGAGGTCCACGTCACAGTGTTTACAGACCACATGCCTCTGAAACGGACTCATGAATGAATATAAGTAGCACTTTGCTGATAGGTTACTTTCATTCATTCATAAGCACGGTGGTGCAGTGGTTAGCGCTGCTGCCTCACAGAGTTCGATTCCACCGCCTTCTGTGTGGAGCAGGGGTCTCGAACTCCAGGCCTCGAGGGCCGGTGTCCTGCAGCTTTTAGATGCGTCCTCGGTCCAACACAGCTGATTTAAATGGCTAAATGACCTCAACATGTCCAGAAGTTCTCCAGAGGCCTGGTAATGAACTCATCATTAGATTCAGGCATGTTGACCCAGGGTGAGATCTAAAACCTGCAGGACACCAGCCCTCGGCGCCTGGAGTTCAACACCCCTATATGTGGCCTTTGGTTCGGTCTGCTACATCAGTCACCAGCCTGCACAGATGCTTGGCTGTATGCAGCCAACACTATGGTAGCTGTGCTTTCAGGGCTGCTCCTGTCTTCTGGTTTCCTGTTGACACAAGCTAGCTGTATATCTAGCATCACCGAGGTTTACTGCCTACAAAGAAATGAAGGAGACAAAATCATAACATTGATGTATCATTTATGGAGCTATGCTCGGGTATTAAAGTAGGTGCAATGATCCAGAATGGCAATTTTGGTGTAGATGTCCAAACATGGTGGTTGCAGTGCTTCAGCATCAAGCTAGCACTGCAGCAGAGGAGTGTGCATGAAGGCAGAGCAAATCAGTCAAGATAGCTTGTGTTAGATCAAATCAAAGAACAGTAAACCTCAGAGCAGCAGCGGCACAGGTCAGCTGATCACAGCCTGCAGAGAAAGAAGACCTGCTGCAGCTCACAACAGCAACATGGAGCCAGTACTGCCAGTCTTTGACCCCGACTGGACTCGTTAGGGCTGGGTATCATCACTGATTTCTAGAATCGATTCGATCCACGATTCGATTCAATTCTAATCTATTGGAATCAGGGAAATTTTGCCTCAGACAGTCAGAAATATTATAATCCAGATCATGCATCAGTACATTTCCATGTTTTTATATCTATCAAAAGAAAGCTGACACTTGTGAGACTTTATCAAAGGTGTGAGCATCACAGCAGAGGCCTTTGTGTCAAAGTAGCTGGGGATGAAACAGAAAAACATGAAGATGGTTTTCCTGGCCTGGATTTTATAAAAATATTCTGCAGTAGATCAAAAATGAAAGAAAACCATTCATCAACATATGAACATGACCTGATGCTGCTGACGTGAAGCAGAGCAAAGTTACAGCAGTTTTATTACAGACACAGCTGAGCGTTTTGCAATTTTGCATAATTTTAAATAAGTTCAGGAGCCCATGGAAGAGCAGAAATGAGGCTTTCTTGTCGGAAGTAAGTAAAAGGAAAAAAACAGCGGCCGACAGCCTGTAAACAACTTGTGCAATAAGCAAACGAATAATGCAGAAAACAGATTTTTAGACGGGAAACTACAGACAGAGAGAGAGAGAGCTGTGCATGAAGTGAGATTTTATCCTGGTGGAAGCAAAACAGCAAAAGTTGTTGTTGTTTATGTGAAGCGCAGTTTGGATCTTCTTTTGCTGCTGGTTCGGTCAATAATGTTTGGAGAGACATCAAACTAACAGCTTCAGAATCAGCTCAAAAAGGGCGTGAACACAAAGCTCGACCCGCCGAAACATCAGAATCAGCGAGCTGTCGGCTTTCAGCCCCGACCGTGCCGTCGGTGAGAAAGTCACATCGCGTTTACGTCTCTGTGCAGAAGCCTGTTCCTGCTCTCATTCACTGTTTCAGCTGTTTGGTGGTTGAAATGTTGGGAGGTTTAACCTGAGATTCTGGCGTTTCGGGCAAAAAGAAATTTATATTTAAAAATCGATTCAGGATTTTAACGAATCGATATCACGTTATCCAAGCCAGGATCGATTTTAATCGATAAATCGATAATCAAAACCCACCTCTAGTGCTCATTTCTCTGTTTAGATGTGGAGGCAGAGGTTTTACTTTTATGTGCTAATATTATTTGATTGTAATGATAACAGAGCATGAGCTTCAGTTAGCTCTCCACAAAAGCATCTGGCAGTAATGTCCTACTCTGAGTACGTTTCAGAGCCTGCACTGTTTCACTGTTACTGAGTAACGTTTAACACAAGTATGGAAACACTGTGTGTACTTTAGCCACCTCTGCTGGTGGGAGTTAGAGGTGTGGCAGCTGAAACCTGTTCTAGGCCCAAACTCTGCTGTAGATACAGGAGCTACAGTGGGAGTGGTGTTTGTACAACAGGCAGCTGGTGCATCCTGACCTGCTGCAGCTCCTCTATCCTGCGTCGTAGTCCGTCCATCTCGATGCTCTGCTGGCTGTTCTTGGCCTGCAGCTCAGAGATGGTCTGTTTCTGCTGGGAACAGTGCAGCTGGACCTCCTGCAGGGATGAACGCACCGAGCGCAGCTTCTCCTCCAAGGACGACGCGTGCTCCTGCTGCTCAGAGGAATCAACACAGAAGGAAATGCTGTGGAGGGTCTTTCTCAGGTATTAGAGTCCAGCTATTACAGGTGCTTTTTAACATTAGGGAAACTTACAATATGATGCAATCCCAATATTGATTTTCTGATCAGTTGTGTGATAAACCAACAAATCTGTGTAACTAAAGGAGAGAGCGTTTATTCTACAGAGGAGCCTGTGGAGTCAGTTTGCCTCCCCAGGTTTCTTTGTCTTTGCCACTTCAGCGAGCTTGTGCTCACTGTACGTCAAAATATTCAGATATTAAATAAAATATGGTGCAGTTTGCATTTAACCCATTCATGAGGAATGATCACGTGGAGCAATGATTCATTCGTCTCTGCCTGATGCTGCGACTGCAGGGTCACTGCAGGTCAAAGCAAAAAGACGTTTTTACTCAGTTTAGAACATTTTCATTAATTTAAGGACTGAGGTCATTTTAAAGAGTCTCTGGGAAATCGACCGTTATCAATCCATGTACAAGATTTAGAGATTCTCACACACACTGACAGCATGATGACAGTTGGGTCGGTGGGGTTCAGCCACGCTCTGCTTTTCCTCAGAGCTCTGAGTAAATGACTCGTCCTGCTAGTCAAAGACAAAGTGGTGGGTGGGGAAAGAAAAGTACGGCTCGTGGAGATGCTCGTTCTCCACTCACCACCTTTGAAAACTTAGGTTGTGAGTCGGTAAGTGACCAAAGTTTGAACTCACCTCTTCCAAACGCACTTGGGCTCGCACTCTTCCCAGCTCCTCCTCTGCCTGGGCCCTTTCTGCCACAAACGCTGCTTTAGCTTTACTCAGTTCCTGGAACAGATGAGACGACAGATTATCATGAGAAACACATTCGGGGTGATTCGTTAACTCCCACTCTGGGTGTAGGATTAAGAGTTCCACTTCACTGTCATTCATTCTGTAGAAATGCTCCCAGATTACAGGGAAACTGTTTTATCAAACTGTGTGCAGCAGCTGTGGTTTTATCATTGTCCTCTGCAGTACCAAGGTGTCCCATGCTCTCTACAGTCACCTTCAGTTTGGCCTGATAACTGGGAAATTCCCTGGTGCCAAAGAGATGTTTGCTTGTGGATTTGAATAACTGTCTGGAATATACAGTTAGGGAAAGTTGACCCTTCAATCCTTAAATAAACAGAGACTCACTGAACCTTAAATATAGTAAAGAAACAAAATTAAATTCAGGCTCTGTGTTAAAGCTCGTACATCCCTGGATGTGTCACTACTTCAGGTAATGTATATATCTTCCATTCACAATATGACAGATCAAAATCAGAGACACTCCAGTTTTGGATCCGTTCGATACTGTCGACCATAATATCCTATTAGAGCGATTAGAACATGCTGTAGGTATTACAGGTACTGCGCTGCAGTGGTTTGTATCATATCTATCTAATAGACTCCAGTTTGTGCATGTAAATGGAGAGTCCTCTTCACACACTGAGGTTAATTATGGAGTTCCACA